CATAGCCGGGATAACTTACTCCCTAAGTCCATGCTGTCATGAAAACGTCTTCTCATCAGAAACTTATCGATTACTTGCTCATACACTCAATGCACGCTTTCCGCTTTCACCAGTGCACTGCCAACACGAGTGGCCAACTACTCCCCGCAGTATTCCTCTCAATCCCAACGGCATCTTCTACGACTATGTTGTGATAAATGGAAAGCGATTTCATGCTTCAAGAGCAGTCGGCACTCACCGGTCTTCCCTAGTTCACGTCATGATACCAGGTCAGGTACCTACACACGGCTATGGAGAGATACTGGAGATCTTTCAGCTGGATCAACACTTACACGATGGGAAGCAACGCTTATGGTTTGCGCGCATGCGATGGTTCAAGCCATACCACGGGAACCAAAGGACAATTTGGGACGACTTGTACATCATCCTGTTTGACCTACTAACCATCGTTCACACTAACATCATGAAGTTCTGCCTTAGATGTCCGATTATGGGAGCTCGGGGAATACCAAATGCAAGAATCATGCCTCCCTTCGCTCGTGGAATTCGACTGGATTGGTAACTTACTGGCATTAACTGTTGTTTCACTCAGAGAGGATCAGCGCAAGGTGTGGGCAACAGTAGACCTTGCAAAGGTGTGTAGCGTTATCGTTTACTGATACCCAGCTCGCTACTCAATCAATACTCAGTAACTGGAGTCTAGACATTCATGTATTACAAGGATGGATGGTAAATTAAACATGATGTTTGTTAATTTTGTAACAGAGCGTCACAAATCCTACAACATGCGTTGCTCAGAACGCGAACAGCAAAGCGAAGTTTCAATACTCGTTTTCGTCATCCGATGACCCATTTTCATTAGACATCTTGAGCCATTCATCCAATTCTTTGAGGTAGGTGGCATCCGCCTCGAAAAGCTCTTCTTGGTTGACGTGAGAATAGAAGCCTTTTAGCCAGCTGATGCCCTCATGCACCACCATTCCCAGGTGTTCACCTAACCACCTCTCATCTACCATCGCCCTGAAGACCATGGCCTTTGCCGGTGGCATGTCGCGACTCAAATGCTTCGGGGCGACGTCAAAGACCCGTTTGTGCACCTTCTTCATGGTTTTGTGACATTTACGCTGTGGTTCCTGATTCATATTGCTAGTATTCGCGTTCAGGTCCTCAGTTACATCTTGCCGCTGCTTCGTGGCATGCATGCTGAGATAGCGCAGAAATGCAACATACTAATATGGCCGGATTCGTGAGTCACCTTTGCCGCTCAGATATGAATTTAACTTACATCGACTGAGCGCCAAGCCTGACCTACAACCCAGTTTGCAGATTGCCCAACCTCTGCATCCTTCCTTCGCTGGAGCGTGTCGTCACTAACCTCGTCGTCATTGCAGCTGATAATATCAGATCCGAGGTCGGTAAGGATGAGGGCTTCTGCGCCCTGATGTCCAGTTTCCGCTTCGTACTGTGATGCTGCCTTGCATCTAGCTGTTGCAACCTACCAGTATGTCAGGCACACTCGGGCACGATATCTGTGAGAGTTCAAGTACCGTAACACACCGAGCTCGCTGATGATTCTGTCCCAGCCTCTCCTTAGTCCTGCGTGCACCTTGATCACTCGTTTCCTCTTTTACCCTTTTGTGGATCGTGCGGAAGTATGTTTTCACGCAATCTTTCATTATTTGGAGGTCGAAAGACTTGTCGGGTATGGTTTTTAGTTGGAGCTGTTCCCTCTGGCTCTATTGCATGTCGGGTGAGCGCTTGCAATTCTCATATTATTCACACGCTACCAGATGATACCTTTTCATTATTAAAGACATGCTCGGCGACTTCTTTAATGAACACGTCATTCAGTTTGTCATCTACGTTGCCGAGCCAGTTGGGGCGCCAAAGATGTGTGCTGTCACTCGTTGATATGAAAGGTTCATCGTTCTCGAGTGGTTTGATAGCAGCAAGGGCTGCGACGTGGTTTCTTTTCGTCCCTTCACACTCGATTCCACACATGTGAGAGAAGAGTGGCTGGATAATAGACTAGTGCCCGGTGAGTGCGCACTCCAATACTGAATGATAGCATAACGTACCTTGAGAACAGAATGGTCATTTGAGTTTGTTCTCGACGAAGTATGCTTCTGTTGATCCACACATTTCTCCTGCAGTTCTCTAAGCATTTGCTCGACAGTTTCAAGGCACGAAACAAGAGATTCAGTTGCCTTCCTGACGCTGGTAAGCTGTTCTTCCATGCTGGTGTTGGCCTCGCTGAGGTGTTTGACATGAGCCATGAGCTGTGCAACCGTAGCATGCAAGCTAAGCTGGTCTCCTTGGTAAGATCCAGTTCGAGAGCGGGATGCTGAATATAAAGTCTGATAGTCTTCCATTGGCGTCTCACTACATCCTCTGCCATTCGACTGACTATGGGAAGGTCTTCCAGCATACGAGAAGGATGTTTCGTCACGACCGTTGACACCCCCATGGTAAGGAGTGAAGCCAAGATGTTGGCTTGGTTGGTTTCCTCGGTGTGGATAGGATACCTCGTCCTGCGATCCCTGCAAATCGACAGCACCGGTCAGCTCCATCATATCAAAGGAGAACTCAGGTGACAAGAGCTTGGCAGATAGGGTGAGTTGATCGACTGACAACAACAATTAGTAGTGACTGACCGATGGTCCACTGTGGTCTCTTCGCTGAGCAGGGCCAGGGCCAAATGGATCATCTAGGCCTGGCGCAGAAGGGAGGTGAGTGCCCTGCGGGGTGTTTGAGGGTGCCATGTTCATCTGTGGTACATGATGTCCATGCGCGATGCTATTAATATTCTGGCTCAACGACTGGGATCCAGGTATCGCTCCACCACTTGGAAGTCTTTGGCGTTGAAGGTGCAAGGAGCTGGAGGGCGTCATGTGTGTCTGGGTCTGTGGTACATGACGACCACGATGAGTTCCCTCCTGGCTCATCAACTGGGACCCAGGCGTCAGCGGTGGGGCACCACCTGTGAGCCTCTGCAAATGCATCATATCCTGCCATTCACCAAGGAGGGGAGCAAGCAAATGTGGGCGATTTTTTTGCACGGCTGGGGGCGCTGGGTAGGCATTTTGGAAGCACACGTTGTACTAGGCACTCATCAAATATAATCTGATCTGGTTATCCTGAAAAACACGACTGAAGGCGGGAGGATCAATTGCATTTATACGATTTAACTCAGTGTACATAGCTCATAGTCACATTCGAATCTGATCTGATTATTGTCGCGAAGGTAAAAATCGTCATGGTGATAGGCATGCAAATCCAACCAGATTATGCTCCGAAACGAGAACACTTCGGCACTATATTCAGACATATTATTAGGAGTAGCTACCCTCGGGATATACAACGGTTATTGTCATTGACCTGACTATCTCTGGACCTGATTAAAAACCCGTTTCTGCAGTGACTAAGTCTAGTACTACCTTGTTGTCTACTGCTCTTATCCATATGGCTCCCAACACTGTCAAGATCATCAAAAACATCATCATACTTGAGGTTGAAAACCTCCTTCAAGGTTGGCCAGCATATGTTATTAACTTCACACCAGAAAATCCTGGCCCACATGTATGTCTTAAGCTATTCTAACTCTACCCATTGTGTGACTGACATCTTACAGAAATTAATCCTGCATATCAAGAACCTGAAAAAATATGTGAAGATTGACTCTGATGATGAAGATGAAGCCACAATTGTGGAGTACCATAGGTATCATGGCGCATATAGCCAATGTTTCTAACCAGATCAATTACAGGTGCATTAACCAGCAACAGTGATGCAAAAATTATGGTCACTGCTATTCAGTAAGTCTTGTGTAACTTCTGGAGGTGTTCTTATCTTTGCAGGCCCAAGGAGGCTTTATGGTCTGGAAGTCCAGAAGATACTTCTGATGAGGAGACCTCTGATGACAAGGAGATGACTCACAATGCAACATTACTGACAAACACACTCATGGTCCCTGTTCAACTTCATGGGAATTTAAACCAATTTCCTCCAGTAAAGTGTAAAACCTTTGATGAGAACTGGCCCCCCTGTCACCCTTGCACATTCCACAAGATCTCTCATGACACCTTGATCGCAATGTATGATGCATTTTTGACATTCCCAGCAGCAGTGAGGCCTGTGTTGGAGGCCATCAGTAGTGGTTCTAGTGGAGAGGTTGCCAAGAGCAATGGTGTGAGTGAGGTCTAGGCATCTACTGGTGAACATTTTTTTTTGTGCAAGGACATCTGCTATGTACTTTGTACTGAGGACAATGTACATTACTGTGGTTTACCATGCTTTAATACCAGTGTTTTTGGCTGCTGAGTAGTTTGCAAGCTGAAAGGACACAAATGCAAAAATTTATTGTCTCCACAATACTTCAGATGGACAGAATGACAGAAGTACATGTATGCTAAGCTCAATCCTCCTCATTTTCTTTGACCCTGAGACATGCAATGTCTATGCCCATCTTCTCCACCAGGAAATACCTCTCCTTGACTGTACCTTGTATGACAGGATGATGTGGCACCATCACAATGACTGATTGAATGGAGGAAACTGGAATGACTTGCAAACTTGGCTCACCCTGCTTGGTACAGGAAGTGACAACCCCATAAGATTGCTTGAATAGGTGAGGGTGGGGATCAGAATAGAGAGTGATGAGAGTGATGTTGTCATATTCAAATTTATCAGGGGCATCAAGGTCATCATTGTTGTCATCATCATCATTGGAATGGTTGCCTGACAACAAGTCTTGTGAAGTACTGGACTTCTGCAATGCAGTCTCTGCCATCAAGGAAAACCTTTTATGATATGATGAGTAAATGTACAGTGAGAGTTAACTACAATTCACATACCTTAACATTCTGAGCCATGCAAATTTCATCTGGGGACTTCTGCAATTCTTGATACTCAGACCACACAATTTGGCCATGGGGCAAATGAAGGCATGCCCAGTGTCAGATTCTGGGTGCAAGCAGAACTCCAAGATACTCTGAGATAATTCAGGCCTCTGCTCCTTGAAGAGTGATAAGATGCTTGTCATGTTTGGCAAGGAGGACATAACCATAATGGAGGTCAGAAGATGCATGCAGGTTGACATTTTCAGGAGGGTCAAGATGAGGTAGCATAGCCTTGAGTGCATTCACTTGGCAACAGCAGATTCCCTGCTGTGCAAGGTTGGAAAATGGGTCTGATGGTTGCCATATCTCTTGGCCAAGATTGCTAATAGTATGTTCCATTGTCCACTGTGAGGAACATATGGGTGAGCCAACACAAGCTGCTTTGGAAGGAAGGTGACATGTGAGGTGAACACAAGGATGAATGAATGGAATGCAATCAACACAATGCTGGTAAAAAATATGCTCAAATTCTGGTGCCCATTCCAATATGAGCTGAGAAGTGTGACAAAGTTGGGTGGGAGTGATGCTGTATTGAGACATAATACAAAGGCCAGTGACAAACTTGCAAAAATTGCGCCAGACATGGACAGGAAGAACTCCATACAGAAGAGCCAGGCAGAGATTGTGAATCCAGGTAATGTACTCTGTGGCTTTGTACCAGGAATTGGCATGAAGACAAGGGTTGCAAGGAGCAATGTCAAATGAGCCTGGTAGATACATCTTGCAACTGGTGATGGCAAGGCCATGGGCTTCCCAGGTCACCCTATCCTTAAAAATGGCCCAATACCATGAAGATTTGTTGTTGGTGGGTGTGCAGTCAAATTTGCCCCACCATAAATCAACCCAGAGTGCAGCCATGTTTGCCCCACTCAGGTGCAGCTGGAGGCCAAGCAAGATGCTCAGTCTGACAATGCCTGTTTTCAGGTGCCTTCTTTCATACTTGGCCTGGGTGTGTGAGCTGATGAGATATGTCAGTTGCTCAATGTACACTTGGGAATTCCCTGGCCCAACATCATAGACATTGAGGTCAGGATGGTCACAGTTGGGTATATTGTAGTTGTGCAGCTTGAGGAGGACTGGGTAATATTGAGATGTACCCAGTTTATGACATCCTTTTACAGGACAGAGCAGGCAGCACCCATTTTTTCCCTGATGGCTGATGAAGTTGCTGAGGGTAAGTAGGCCAGGACCATCAGCACATGCAAGAAATAGGAATGGGCATGAGGTGAATTCACAATCTTGTGAGGAATTCCAGATGCGAAGCCCCTCATGCTGAACAGTGGAGAGGTGGTGTAAGCCCAGGAACAAGAAAGAGTCAATGATCTTTGGCTTCTTTGGACCAGGTATGATTGTGCTGGGAAGAACATGCTTTTTCTTGTAATGGTAGTTGGGAGAAAGGTCAAGGATGATCCAAATATATATCCAGCAGTCAGACTCCTTACTCTCATATAATTGAGTGCCATTGATCAATAACATGAGCAACATGTCTTCTGGCTTGATCCTGTTTTGAGCCACTGCACAGAGGTATGCTTCCCCACAGAATATGTCATTGTAAGCATCAACTAACCCATTGTTTCTCCAGATTTCCTCAAATAGCTGCCAGGTATGATTCTCCTGGTAGTGCATCTTCTCTGCAGTCTTGGGATGGCACCAAAGGACCTGGAATTATGGGGCAATAGGGATTGTATGGAAGACAGCATGGGGGTGTTTGGTCCTACTGCTGCTCTGCTGCAGCTTGACTTGGTCATATCATGGCTCAGAGCACTGTGTCAAGAGCAGAGAGTGGACCTATGAAGGCAGCACAGGAGTTAATACACATATCTTTGACTACAGACATGACTCTGCTGAGATTGGCAAGTAGGCACCTTGTCTGGTGAAACATAGGGAGTTTGCAATCAGGGAAAGTCTTCTGAATGGCTCTCTGAATCTTTGTATATGCATTTTCTGATGAATGTTCAAGGGCAAGAAACATTGACAAGGCAAGTTCAGTAGACAGATCATCTATGTGCAGAAGTTCTCAGGGGGGATTGCAGAGGCACTCAAGTGGTTCACCTGTTATGCCAACTCCATCATTGAGAGAGGCATTTCTGATGTCTTTTACAAAGTGCAGGCTATGCTGTATCTTTGGTAGGCATGCATCACAAATGAGTTTCTCAATATCAAGGTCCAGGAGGGGGGAATGGATAGGTGGAGCAGGTGGATGGTCATCATCATGTCCAGCAGGTGGGTTGTGATTCCATGAATCTCCAGGACTGTTGTCACAATGAAAATCTCCAGCCCCATCATCACCATGAAAATCTCTAGCCCCATCATCACCATGAACATCTCCAGCCCCATCATCACCATGAACATCTCCAGGACCATTGTCACCACAAAAATCTCCAGCCCCATTGTCACCACAAAATTCTCCAAGCCCATCATCAACATCTGCAGGGCATTGATGATTACCTTGAAAAAAAAAGCATATTGAAGGACTTACATTCATCAGCATCTTGCTGATCTGCAACCTCATCCATATGCATGTGGTCATCCATCTGATTTTGATGGGCATCTCCCTGGGAAGGTAGTTGAGGGTGATCCTCTGCCTCTAGTGTCTAAGAGGATTTTTAAACCAAAGAGCAGAACAGCTATTAATGTGGTCTTACCAGGCATGCATGTCCAGCAGTACCAGATTCATTAGAAGCATTGGTACTTGCAGCAGACATAGCAATGAATGCATGGAAAGTATTGGATCATGTTGCCAGTGTTATAGATGCCTTCTCATTGTCATCCACCTCATGTAGGTGCCACTTCCAAGTTCTCAGCATATGAATGGGCCTGCAAATGCCTTTGCAGTATTTGCAACACACACACCACAGGTTTGGAGCAGGGCCCAGCATGACAAGGAGTAGGTAGTACTCATAGTGAGTGCAGTGAGAATATGGAATGGATGGCATGGATTGCACCAGATAGCATAGATTCAACAACCTAGCACAAGTACATTGCATTGCATGGAGTCAATGGCACAGATTGGACAGGTTGCACGTGATCAATATCCCATTCCAACTAGGCATAGCTATGGACAACCTATGCACGTTGCAACACATACCAATACATATAAACAATAGTTGGTAAATAGTACTACATTTGTCTACCTAGTTACGCATTTGTCCAATTCTCACTGGGCCTCATATGCGACAAATCCAGGACGGCTTCATTCACCATTTGTGAGGCTGGAGAGCTGTTGTTGTGTCATCATGGTCTTGGCAGCCCCAGTCCGAGGCCTCCTTACTCCCCCATGACGAAATCCACTGGCGGAGCGGTTCGGCGACGTCGTCCAGTGTCTTCGTGGCCACAAGGACACCCCGGAACATTCTAAATAGTGCTGAAGGCAAAACACTATACTTGCTACCTCCGCCAGTGCCATCTGTGCCAATTCCAATTCCGTGGTCCCGTGACTCATATTCAGAGCCCGCGTCGGAGTTCGTGTGACAAGCGCTCTCTCTAGTCACGTGCCTCTCGTCGTCGTCGTCGTCCACGATGTCCAACACGATCCCCCTGTGAGTGCAGGCCACGTTGTTTCATTGAAGCGCTGACGAACCACACAGCTATCCCCTTTCCAACTTCACATTCTGGTACGCAACAGAGTTATCGTCGTCTGCGACAGACACACTCACCCCCGGAGTTGATTAGCACAAAGGAAGCCCAGCCGGAGGAAGACCCATCTGTCTCGGCGCGTCTGCAGCGTCTCCAAAACAACTATGAGGATTTTGGAATGCGTCGGACGGTAGAGGGCGTGTTGGTGGTACACGATCACGGCCACCCGCATATCCTCATGTTACAGATTGCTAACGCATTCTTCAAGCTGTCAGTACTTCCCATCTTCACGCGCATATATGCATGCGTGTCCTTTATTCAATGTGTGTTTGGATAGCCCAGGCGATTACCTCAAACCAGGTGAAGACGACGTGGAAGGTCTCAAGCGAAGACTCGACGAACGACTCGCCCCACCTCCAGAATCTAAACAATTTAACGCGTCCCATGGCATCGACAACGAATGGGAAATCGGAGATTGTCTCGCACAGTGGTGGAGACCCAACTTCGAGACGTTCATGGCGAGTCTGCGCATCCATGGCATGCTTATTTCTGTCGCGAGGGGCTGACGGCGGATACCTACAGTACCCATTCATCCCTGCGCACATCACCAAACCGAAGGAGTGCAAAAAGTTGTTCTTGGTACATATGCCTGAACGAAGTTCGTCCTTCTATCCTGTGCTAAATCGTTTCGCGTGTTCATGCGACATTCAGAGGTCCTCGCCGTTCCCAAAAACATGAAACTGCTCGCTATACCACTCTTTGAGCTATACGACAACGCTGCTCGGTACGCCTATCGTCTCCTTAGTTCCCTTTATTTATCTCTGACCTTGTAACGATGGCAGGTATGGCCCGCAGTTATCTGCTATCCCGCATTTGCTGTCAAGGTATAACTTTATATACCAGTGACTTCGCGCGCGGAAAGAGAGGGCAATAGACTGTATCCTTAGAATTTGACCATGAGCGTGTCTCTCGTGCGCACTCCTCTCCTTGACCGTGTCGCCGACGCTTTGCATCTTCTTATCTCTCGAGGTTGCGACGCGCCGATCCTCTTATCTCGGGAGCCATACTCGGCAGAAATGTCAGCACCCTGAGTCCAAATCATTAGAGTATGTACTGCCCCTGACTTTGAGCAATGAATAGACGTGCAGCTATTGTATATTCCATGCAAAATTACCTAGCTCATGCATTCAAATCCAGAAGTAACTTGTGAGGGTCGACGGGGTATTCTAAAATTGCCTCCAATATTAGTAGCCCCATCTCATTCTCTCAGAATGCTCTTCTTCAACTGCAACTAACAGGCACACCCAACCCCCCCATCATCTTCTTGTGCCGACCGCCCATTCAAATCGATCGTCCCCGGCATCCCATCTTCCCCATCTCTACGTTTCCCACCCCCAGACTCAGGTGTCACAGGTGCCCACAACTCTGGTGTCTCGAGTATCCGTTTCACAAGATCCTCGAAAACCTCGCGTACACCAACAGAAGTTTTGGCGCTTGCTTCTAGGAAGAGACATTCTTTCCGAGTAGCGAACGCCTGCCCTTCAGAGGTAGATACCTGGCGGGAGTGTTCCTGTTGGTCGGGTTATGTTAGGTATGCTCGTCCGTTCCACTGTATGCATGTAAGGTGCAAAGATAACGTGGAACACGACTAATGAGAGCGAAACGAAGGAAATGGAAATGGCGGGAGAAAGAAATGAAGAATGACCTTGTCTAGTTTATTGCCAACGATGATCTTCGGCACCAATGACGAGACATACGTATCGATCTCCGTGAACCATTTGGGCAACGCATCATACGTTTCTCTATTCGCGACGTCGTATACTGCCCGTGGATTGGACCGAGAAATTCAACAGCGAAAACCAGATGACGGGAGACGGGAGACACGTGAATAAGTCAAGACGAGAAGAAGGGGGTACCGACGTACCAACTATGATGCCCTGAGCACCCCTATAATAGGACGACGTAATCGTCCGAAAACGTTCTTGTCCTGCTGTGTCCTGTGGCACATCATGCGCCACGTTACATATGGGCGGGAAGATCAATGTGGTGTACGCCGTAAAGACGAGCGCATGATGAAGCACACAGCACAAGTTCAACGAAGGAAACGCCCCGTCAGTCAATGGGCAAGCCAGAAAGAAAGATAAACTGACCCATATACTGAGTTTGACCTTTCGGCCATTCACTTCCATCTTGTGGACCTACGTGAGGAAGAGAGTCGTTAGCGCGAAGCCGTTGTGCATATGAATCTCGTCGCCCGTGTGCAGCTGGGGCGCTAAACAACTTGTCGGATACGCTGGGACTCCCGAGGGAGTCTCCAGTATCACTACCTACAAAATAACCCTACAAAACAAGACCCACCCTGAAATCCACTCCGATAGTTGCAGTCGCCTCGTCCTCGGGTATCCACTGCTCGTCTGAGAATCGCAACAGAAGACTACTCTTGCCCACAGATGCATTGCCAATCAGGAGGAGCTTGACGTTGACGGGTGATGATGAGGCGACTGGTGTCGTCGTTACTGGGGCCGTCATCTGTGGGTATGACGACTCGTGGTAGGGGAGGGAAGGGAAGGAGTGCGAGTATGGGGTGTGGCTGCCTCGCTGAATACGTCAAATCAAAAGACACCGCAACAATCTAATAAATTTGCTACGACGACACGATGACACTACCAGACAACAACAGTACACTGACAACTTTTCACCACAAAAAAACTCAGGGCCTATGTATCTTTTGACAACTCAACCTGGCATAACCAGCAACGCCGTTGTGGTTCATGGATTGAGCACTGAACATCTGTACATATGATTTGTGTTACAGGGTCCGTGCCAGCTGAGATTGGATGCGTCTGGAATGCACTAATACATACTACACAGGTGCATAGCACAACGTCTCATTCCAGTGGGTCTATTCGGGGAACACTACAATGAGTCGGTTCAATGACTGATCGAGATCATTGAAGGCGAACTTTCATCGCAGTCAGATCTCAGAACTGGATATTACATACAACTTGCGTATGTGCCAGTACATATCATGAATCGATCGTGGATGTGGGGGGCGTGTTGGATTGGAGTACTCTACACGTTTTCTACGCACCGACCATATGATGGATGCGAGGCTGTGGGGCCTGCCTCATCTGGCGAACTTCGATGTCCTTATCATGCCATCTGTTCTATCCATTCCGCAGACAAAGCGTCCCTTCGGTTCCATTGCAAAAAATTCTACCATGGCACAGTCGTGTCCTCCACAATTCAAGATGGTCCTTATCGGCAGCTCGTCCGTCGGCAAGACATGTCTCCTTCACCGCTTCCTTGACATGGACTGGTCAGTTGGCGACGTTGCTGCGAACTACGGTGTGGACTTCCGTGTGAGTGTCCCTCTCACGCATGAAAGACATGGGACTTGTGGTATATGTAGCATATCCCGCACGTCTCGTGTGTTTCATTGGGTGGCCAGCGGCCACACTGACCAGGAGAATAAAGCGGACTGATCCTCCTGTTTGACGTAGGCTCAGAACATGGAAGTTGATGGACGCAAGGTGAAGCTTTGCATATGGGTGAGCATTGTTCCTCGTCATTCCCAACGTGGTTGAGTGAGACGCTCTTCGCTCCTTCATACCGTTTATCGTTCCCTATGTAACAGGACACAGCGGGAATGGAAAAGTTCCGAGCAATCTTGCCGTCATTCTATAGGGGTGCACAGGGTGTTATACTCGGTACGGTCGATGCGACATGTCCCCAGTGTTACACCCTGATCATTCCGGTTCGAAATGGGCTAGTGTACAGCATTTCTGACAGAACATCGTTCGATGCATTGCCAGGTTGGCTTGCCGACATCAATCACCACGCTCCATCTACGACACCCAAGATAATCGTTGGGAACAAGTTAGACCAGGTATGTCTCCAGCGTCATTTCTCATTCCACCACCTTTCGCCACGACCCCCTCAGTTTGGCTGCGCATCTTTGACATTTAACTTTTCCAAACTGGGAGGTTGACCGGAAGGTCCCTACGTCTGATGGGGAATCATATGCCGCCCAAATCGGTGCCCTCTTTCGTGAAGCAAGCGCCAAGACTTCTATGAATGTGACCGAGGTCTTTGAGGATCTCGTCAAAAAGATGCGCGAGGCCGACGATCTCATGAAGTCCATGGTCATTTATAGAACGTGGCCCCAGGATGAAATCATCAAGCTGGTTGCAACAGACCAACCCAAACGTAACTGGTGGGATAAATGCAAGTGTTAGCAAGTATGTATGTTTGTAGTTCTTAGTTGCCGGTAGATGTAGGATCTTGTCAAACAAGAATCTACCATATGAAATCCCCAGTGTATCAATTTTTCATCTAGCTTCGCCGGGTACGAGGCCGTTCGTGACCTGATTCTCCAACTAACCTGCTTGTTCAATTGCAGGATATGAGGGAAGCTTGTAAACTGTGATGGCCGATGGCATGGATATCTGACACGTTTTAAGTGATGTCAGGCTTCCTCGCTTGCATCAGGCCACAGTAAGTAACTCGGATGGGCCCCTACAGTCATTGTTGCGACACGTACCCAGAACCAACATACAAAAAGCTTGGCGTGATTCATTTGTGTGGTTAGAGGGGGACAGCATCAATTGGTGTAATGTGTGACATGTTGTCGCGGTGCTCGCGAACCTGCCGTTCCGGTATGTACGGCCTCATCAGCGGCCTGGCCTAATAACAGGTGAGAGGGATCCCGAGTGCTGTGCACAATCAACACAGGAATTGATTTGCGGACGCTCCATGGCACACACATACGTAAACCCTCATCCCATCGTGTTGAGACACCGTCAGCAAATGTAATAATCTATTGTCATTCACAGAAGGAAGCGAGTTCCTGGCCAACACATAGCAGCTTCGACCACAGCTCCCAAGCATACCCGCATCAATTCATCGATGTTGATCCGTGAGATACTCGGAAAGGGACAGAATCAACGACAGGAACCGCGTGAACAAGCCAAGACGGGAAGAAAAGGGGGTCCGGGTGCCGACAAACCGAGTATGACACTCTGAGTGCCCCTACAATAGAACGACGAAACCGTCCGAAAACGTTCTTGTCCTGCTGCATTATGTATCATGCCATGTGGGAAGATACGCGTTGTATATTGTAGGAGACATACATGGTGAGGCGTGGAGCCCAACGAAGGAAACGCACGTCAGCCAACAAAGAAGACGGAAAGAAAGGGAGACTAACCTCCAAACACAACCGACTACCCGTAACTCGCCACTTAGTACATTGCACGTGAAACAAGACGCCCACCAAAGTAACATGGACCTCAACCAGGACTAGTTTACGGAATCCCACACACCCCTGGCGGGAAGTGCGTAAGAGCACTTTTCCTCGGACTGGGTGGCCCCCAGTATAGTGATTATGTAGGACTAGGCGTGGCAGTTGCTACATGATACAATCGCTCGTCCAAAGAAAAGACTCACCCTGAAATCATGGTCGCAGTCGCCTCGTCTTCGGGTGCCAGTATCCACTGCTCGCCTGAGAATCGCGGTAGAAGATTACTCCTGCTCGTCAGGAGGAGCTTGACGTGGACACGTAATGTTGGGACGAGTGGGGTCGTGGTTACTGGGGCCATCTGGGGGTATGAGGCCTTATGTGGTAAGGAAGGGAAGGAGTGTCAGGAGTGTGGCTGCTTCGCTGAGCACGAAGACAATCTACTGACTTTGATACGATGACAAGATGACACTTAGACTGCATCAAACATCAAAGGTACACTGACAACTCTTCACCGCGGAGACTTCAGAGAAGTAAACCAGCCAGCCCAGATCATCCATAACCTCGACCCAAACCTGGCGTACACCGTTAGTACACGGGCACATAGTATAACGTCTCACTCCAGTTGGTCTTTTCGCATTTTGTGAACGCTGCACAGTGAGCCAGTTCAATGACAAGCTAATCGTTGAAGGCGAACAGTCGTCGCAAGTACCACTATAACGGTAGACTGACCATTACAGATATCAAAAACCGGATCACTTACGTCACCGTACACGAAGTGCGGGCGGAACGACTGGATGGATTGACTGGGTATCACAGAATCCCCTAATCTAGCCGTGCAAGACAATTTCCTCTTCTCGCCAGGTGTGTACGAGTACATATCATGAGTCGATCATGTATGCGGAGGGCACGTTGGATTTGAACCTGCACACGTTTTCTGCATACGAACCATATGGAGATAGCGAGGCGTGGGCTTTCCTTCCATTCTACAGCCCAAGCATCCCTTCACTTCCAGTGCAACCAACTCTGCCATGGCACAGTCGCGACCTCTGGAATTGAAGATAATCCTCATTGGTGATATGTCCGTTGGCAAGACCTGTCTCTATAAGCGCTTCCTTGATAAACAATGGTCAATCGACAGCGTTTCTGCGACCTACGGCGTGGACCTTCATGTGAGTTCCCTCTCACGCACGAAACACAGAAGACATGTGTAGTATGTCCCATACACGCACATCTTGTGTGTTCCATTCGTCAGCCAGTGGCCACATTGACAAGGAGACTAAAGTGAGCTGATCCTCACATCTGACATAGTTTCAAAACATGGAAGTTGATGGGCGGCAGGTGAAACTCGGTATATGGGTGAGCATTCTTCCCCGATCTTTTGAACTACCGAAACATGTTTGACTGAGAGGCTTGAACCCTTCACCGTATCTTTTGTCGTTCCCTATGCAACAGGACACAGCAGGAATGGAACGATTCAGGGTGATCACGGCACCATTCTACAGAAGGGCGCATGGTGTTGTACTCGGTGCGGTCTATTCGACGTGTCCCAAACCTTACACCCTGACCAGCCCGATTCAAAATTGACTAAAGTGTACGACATCACGGATAGAGCATCGTTCGATGCGTTGCCGGGTTGGCTTACCGAACTCGATGACCACGTTCCATCCACGATACCCAAGATGATTGTGGGGAACAAGTTAGACCAGGTGCGCCTCCGGCTTTTCCTATTCCTCCCCCAACCTCCTTCTTCCGCTACTATTCCTCAGTTTAGCCATCGTGATGAAACTATGTATTATTGACACATAGCTTTTCCACACCCAGGAATATTCCCGAAAAGTATCTACCTCTGACGGGGAATCATTTGCCGCTCAAAACGGTGCCCTCTTTCGTGAAGCAAGCGCTAAGACTTCTGTAAATGTGACCGAAATCTTTGAGGATCTCGTCAAAAAGATACTCGAGGCCGACGATCGCACGAAATCTGTGGACGTTTTTAGAACGTGGCCCCAGGATGGCATACTCAAGCTGCTTGCAAAAGACCGTCCCAAACATAACTGGCGGGATAAATGCAAGTGTTAGGACGTATGTATCTATGTATCTATGTAGTTTTTAGTGGCTGGCAGACATAGGATCTTGTCAAACAAGAATCCACGATATGAAATCCCTAGTGTACCAACATCTCATCTAGTTTCACCGGTTACGAGGCCGTTCGTAACTTGTAGTTCCTGTTGTGATGGCTGATGGCAGGCGTCTACCTCTGAGGGCGAACCGTTTGCCGCTCGAAACGGTGGCCTCCTTCGTGAAGCAGGCACCATGACTTCAGTAGGTGTGACCGAATTTGGAGGATCTCGTCAAGAAGATACTCGAGGCTGTAGACCGCACGAAATCCGTGAACATTTCTAGAACTGGGCCCTAGAATAAAATAATCAAGCTGTTTGCAAAGGACAAGCCCATACGTGAGCGGCGGGATAAATGCAAGTGTTAGGGGTGCACATAGTTTTTAGTGGCCGACTGTTATAGGATCTTGTCACACAAGTCGCGGATTACGAGCCCATTCGTAGCATGTGGTTTCGTTCTGTGATGGCTGATGCCATAGGGGTACCTGAAACATTCAAGTGACGGCTAACTTCCTCACTTGCACTGAGCCACAATAAGTAGCATTGATGGGCCCCGCCCACAATCATGCTGTGGTGCTCGTGAACTTCTCTACGATGAAGTCCCTTTTTGTGCGGTTGCTTCACTTTGCAATAGTAAGGTTGCCAGCTTGCACAAGTAAGTATGAACAGGTGTTGTTAACGGTGAGAGGGAGTGATATAACCTGCGGTAGTCATCTAGAAAGTCAGCTGCGCACGGATCATGAAGCAGCCAGTTGAACTTCTTCCGTGACACGTAAGCAGTCAACATTGACGACGTGGAGGTCAACGATAGCCATGATGTTGGAATATAGGGATGCACGACGATTGTCGGGAACGGTTCTTCCTTTAGTTTGCCTAGGCCTGTGTGGAAACAGGAGAAAAGAACCAACATGCGAAAGTACATCATGATTCAGTTGTGTGGTCAGACATCAGTAAGAGCTAGTTCGGAAACCTTGGGTAAGTTGCAATTAGTTCCTTCAATGCTTGTACATGTTTTTCCACTGGGGCAGTTCACATAGTGAGTTTGAATTGAGTTTGAAACATTTCCTCCTGTATGCGAGATGGATGACATCAATATTGGTGGTGATCATGAGGAGATTCACTGCCAACACTTGCTGTGCCATATTGCTCTTGTTGTCAATATCATCCTCTGCATGATTGGTCATACTGAAGTGCAATCTATGCCAATCCAAAGGATTCTGGAGCCTTACCACATGTCAGCACTAACCAGTGAGGAATGGCTTATTGAGCTCCTTGCAGGTCATCCAGAACAAATCTGATGCAAACTTGGTGTTCATGCTGATGTCTTTGCATGACTTGTGGAGGAGCTTTGCCAGATTGGTCATGGCAACTCTTGATTCATTTTGCTTGAAGAACAACTAGCTATTTTCCTCTATATGAGTGTGATGGGTCTGACTATCAGGCACATCGGTGAACATTTTCAACAGTCAAATGAGACCATATCTTGGTATGTCATCACCCTTAGTTTTCTGATACTTTTCTAACCTCCTTGATCAGGTACTTTTGCAAGGTACTCTTCATCCTATTGTTGTCACCCTTCTATTCCACATATGTCAAGATGCCTAGTGCTGATGATATTCAGCCAAAGATTAGGGGAGATAAAAGATTTTGGCTGTATTTCAAGGATGCAATTGGTGCATTGGATGGGAGCTATATCCATGCCACTCTGGCATCAGAGGACTGGGTGGTGTACCGAAACCACAAAGGCTCCATATCACAGAACTGCTTGTTTGCTTGTGATTTCCAGCTGATGTTTACATACTCATTGACTGGTTGGGAGGGTTTGGCTACTGATGCATGTGTATACCAGGATGCATGTATGAAAGGGCTTGACATCCCAACAGGAAAGTTTCTCCTTGCAGATGCTGGATTCCCCCTGCACCCAGAAATTCTAGTCCCATACTGGGTGACTTGCTACCACCTTGCAGAGTGGCACCAAGCACATTTAAGGTAATTTTCTTTGAATTATCCATCTTATTGTCCTGCTGAACTGACAAGACCCAGGAACAAAGAAGAGTTGTTCAACCTCCAGCACTCATCTGCACACAATGTCATTGAGTGAATATTTGGTGTCCTCAAGTGTTGTTTTTGCATCTTACTACTAAGCCCTGAGTACAACATCAACATCCAAGGCCAAATCCCCTCAGCACTCTGTGCACTGCACAACTTCATCCATACTCATGATGCCAAAGAAGGTCCAATGCCAGGACAGGATATCCACATAGATGAGCAAGGTGCAGAAGGGCCTGGGGGATCGGTGGATGAGGGCAGAGCCAATGAAGATAATCCCAATGTAGGTCAGCTCAAAGTGGCACACACTTTCCATGACCAGATCACTCAACATATGTGGGATGATTATCAGGAAATCATTCAATTGCAGGATCTTGGGCAATTGCCCTCAGGTAGTGACAACTATAGCTCTGATGACTCCACTAACACTGGTAGCAGTATGAGCAATGTATCAATGTTGTAGATGCATAGTTCATTTGTTCCCATTCCATGCAATATACATACACTTTTGGATCTCTCATGTGTGACCTATAATATTTTTTACTGTGTACTGGTCTGAGAACTACCAACCCCAAGTTTCATCTTATACTCCAGTTCAGCAAGTGCCAAATGATCTTCCTTCTTTGCTGTCCTCAAGTATACATCAGCAAAGCCAAGATTCTGCATGATCAACAATCGGATGAATGCTTTGATGGGACTGGGGAAATCTTGGTCTTGATCGTCCAGTAAATGAATCACTTGTGCCCTCATTGTCAATGCTTTATTGATGGCAGATGTCATTGATGTGTTGATTGATGAAGTGAGGAAGTTGATTGAGCCTTGTAGGCCTACTGCAATAGGGTTTGATATCGCAAGTGAAGGCAGAGGTGGAGGATTGCGAGAATGATGGGAATGGGAGCTTTTTGCATAGTCTAAAGCAGCAGAGAGGTTGGCACATTTGTTGGAGGCAGGAGCAGTAGCAGAAATGTCACTTGCATTGGCATATGGGAAAATGGACATGGTAGTTGAAACCTTGTCATCACCAAGCATGTCAGTGTGAGACTGCTTCTTGTTATGCCTGAGCACAGTGACTTCTTCAAATGAAATAGGCATGAAGCATGCAAGGGGGAGTCTGCAGGCCAAACGTGTCATAACCCCTATGGCTCAGTTATCTCTGAGGTCCAGCAGAGGTTCACTCCTTCTGGTGAGTTCTTCTGAGATCGCATGGAGGAGGGAACAAGGACAAAAGAGAAGGAAGTTAGCTGAGTTGCAAGCTATTGAAAAACTGAGGATACAGAGTAAAGTATGTGGGTTTATATACCCCTAAGTATGAGTACCATATCAGTTGTGATGAGATGCATATCTGCAGTAATCAACAAAACAATCAGACAAATAGATAAGTCAAAGGGAGTCATATGGTGTCATATGATGGGGGTGGACAAGGGAACAAAGGCTATACTGGCTGTGCAATCAATGTACAGCAAGGAGCCAGACACTGGAGCTATAGTACAACATATGAGCAATATAAATGAGTCAGAGATGAGTCAATGGAACAAGAAGTAGACATGTCATCCATCAGAGAGGGCAGTGGAATACTGGATCAAGCAGGAGGCACGGTCTCGACAGGTATTGGAAATACCTTGACAGCAGGAGATCTGAAGGAGCCTTGCAGCATATGAACCCCTAGGATGGTGACAATTATGAGAGACATGATGAGGCACATGACACACATGACCATGGTGAGTCAAAAAAGGAAAGACCCCTGACATGGGCATAACATCACCCCCCCTCTAAGGTCCTCAGACCCTTGAGGATGAGCCAGATGTGTTAGCAGGGTGGGAGGAAAGGGGTTGGTGAGTAGTATAGACATGGGAACAAGTGCATGAAGAGATGGGCGACTGTGGCAATGGAGACAGTGGTTCCTTGAGGGCTGGAGTAAAGTGGGAGCCATGTCCATTGCAGCAAGACCAATGTCCCAAGTAATGACACTGGAAACATGCATGTTGATAAAGGATGTGGTTGGCAGGGACCAGGGACTGCCCTCTGAGGTAAAAGTGAAGCTGGTCAAGAGGCATGGGGATGAAGGGAGCCACAGGGAGAGGGTCAGCAGCATGGACAGCATTGTGATAGTTCTTATGGATACCAGCTCATGATGCGTCCTGCAGCAAGACCTCCCAAGTGGAGTTGTAAGTCCCAGTACTGAGGTGGGCACCAACCTCTTTATACAAATCACTGGAGTTGACCCATCCTAACTCAAGAGCCCTCCAGTCATCAACCTTCTTTTGTTCCACCTTCTTCTCTTCTTCCTCCTCATGGGAAACCAATGGTTCCTCTTGTTTTGGGAAAATCCAATCAAGAAGACAAGAAGCAGGCAGGGTGAGAAACTCACTGATCTGTTGTTGGAGAAGGTGGTGATAGGCACCACTGGTTATGGCTTCCAGAAGCCCTGACAAGCTCCGCTCTAACATATTAATCATTATTACCTCTGACAGGGGTGCAGTTCCAGTCAACTTTCAGGTGCATATCTTTGAGATGGCAGCATTGATCATGTCTGTTGCTCTGTAGATTTCAGACAGCAACCAAAAATATTTTACCTGTTCTGGTGAGCACCCATCAATGTTGTCCCCATCGTGGAAGACATCAAGTGCCCTAACAATGTCCAGGTAATCACTTGCTGCAATTGGTAATCACTGCTTGTCATCCTGGGCAAGGGCTGCTGAGGTGGGGAGATCAAGGGCAGTGTGTTGAGCCACATTGGAGTAGGTAGTGAAGGTGGTGTGAATGTTGGCAGGTTTGGGAGCATTTGAGGGACTGGCCATGGCTGTTCAGTTATCAGGGTCATCATCAACCCACACTGTACCTTTTCCCTGTCCCTGTCAGTTACTGTCCCCACTGACAGGGACTCTGGCCTTGGGGATGGGGACCCTCTTGACTGAGAAACCCACATGTGGACACAGTTGGAGAGGGCAGGCAAGAGGGGGTGATGTCGCACACAGCTGTGAGACTGGGGACAAGGGGTAGGAGTCAGAAAAG